AGAGAGAGCGCCTCTCACTTCAGGATGGAAGGCGTGGGTCATTCAGAGTGGCTCCCCACTCTTAATTCCTTACCCACTTTGAATGGTTATGGCTTAGATGGTGAACTATTTTCCTTCTTCCACTTCCTATCCTGCCATGCCCCTCTTAGTCTACACTGACTTCTGAATACACCTGAAGCTTTTTCTGATTGCTCTCTCTCCTCTGTTTAATTTGTCTAGTTGCATATCTTTGAACTAATAAAGCATAGTTTTAATCATTACTGCTTTATTTTTAAAGTCTTGAGATCTGCTAGCACATGTGTACATTTTCTTTGATATTGGAAGGTTGTTGCAAACACTGTTTGCAAACACTGTGTTGCAAACACTGCCCACTGGCTAATTTTGAATTAGCCAATCAAGTTTCTAAAAAGAAAATAACAAACCTTTGGGACTTTCAATGTGATAATTTTCCTCTCCATGAACATGGTATATTACTCCGATTATTTTTAGGCTTCTAAAATATTTTTTTGATAATAATAGTATTTTATTCTTGAAACTTATTCGTATATCTGTTAAATTTAATTCTGTAACCTATATTTTTATTTTAATTTAAGTGGTGTCTTTCAATTGCATTTTCAAATTGTTTATTGCAGGTGTGTAGAGAAGTAGCTGATTCTGTATGCTGATTTCCTATCCATGTATACAGCAGCCCTGACAAACCTGAGTAATTCCTTTCATTTTTGCTTGTAGGCAATCAATTGTCCATCATGATTTAGAGTTTCCTTTCCAAGGCTTATGTGGTTTGTTTCTTTTTCTTATAGTGTCATGCAAGTTGCTCAAAATAGTGGATGATAGTAGCGATTTCCATCTTCTCATTTTCTTCTGATTTTAAATGGAAGACTTTTAATGATTTGGCGTTTGTTGTCATTGGTTGCTTATAGACACCCTTCACCTAGTCTACCATGGAAAGTAATGATATATGATGCTTTTTGTGCATCTATTTTCATGGCTCTGTGGCTGTTCTCCTGTGTTTTATTAATGTGATTAATTGTATTAATTGCTGATTCTCAAAGAAGCTTGCTCCAGTTTCCCAGAGAGACGAAGGCGGTGGGGCAATGACCTGTCCTGACCCAGCTGTGATGGCCTGGGCAAGGCCATGTCTGCTTTCCAGGTGACCCAGGGCTCCCAGCTGAGGGATGAGCCCTTTTCCTTCTCTCAGTCCTGAGCCACCACAACCACAGGACAACCCAGGACGGACCCTCCCTCCTTAGCTGGGCCTGGAGATCTGGGGAAAAAAATACAACACTCATCCCCTTCCCCAAACTGATCTTCTTCAAGAG